ATATATATATATAAACCCAAAAATTGGGATAGCTGTTCAATGACGGTTATAAAATACAAAATAAAATATAACATTTATGCTGTCCAACTATTAAGAGAATTTTACCGGATTAAAAGCCCAAAATAGCTTGCTGCTATTATAGCAAGAGTAGAACCATAACTCATATTAGTTAATCGAAATAGTGACAGAACTCTCCCATTCTGCTCCAAAACCATGAGTCCTATCTGAAGTGACTTATCCTCGTAACCACAGTAGCAGCAAGCATGTGAGTTTCACGTCTGGCAAAGTTCTTTTAATAGTGAGGAAATACTCTAATCACATTTTATTAGCTAATTTTAGTGCTAAAAATAGGAAAGTTACAAATACCTTCATGAATGAGTGAGACACAATAATATAATTTAAATACAGGGTTTTCAGGATTTCTTTTGATCCCTTCCACAGCAATGATTTGCATTGTTCGATACATTCTAGCTCTATTGTAGTAGATTATAGCATCCTAAAAAAATCAACATTTAAATCCAATAATAAGTCTATAAGCTAGTATAGGACAACATACATTATATTCGTTTGAAACTCACATAATATGCTAAACAGTTTATTTTAAATTTGTGAACTAAGAAAATTAACATACTATAATACATATAATGCAATGATTTTTTTTAAAAAGGAAATAAATTTTTATTCACACAACTTAAAAAAAACATAATTCAAAATATTACATTTTATAATTTTAAAAAAAATGAAGAAGAGACTAGATAATTTAGATTAAATGCCCATGTGAAAAGACAAAAATTTCAATTTATGCAGTACAGGGTTTCTGCTATGGTAGCATATGGTTCATAATTTTTATGAAATTCTAAGTTTCACACCTGCCAGAAATCTATTTTTTAAGTGGAATTTTAACATTTTAATACAAATAAAAATGAAATATATCAAAACTTGCAGACTGGCAAACAAAATCTTATTCATAAGCAAAGCCACATCTTAGCATTTTGATAAAAGAATTCTTGATCTCAGCCTAAACCTTGTTAGAGAAAATCTGATTACACACTATAACCATCAAATATGCCAAAAATTGTTGAGGCAATAGAGGCAGATGAGTAGTTCTCTATCGCATAAAATTTAAAAATAAAAAATATCATGCCATCAGATCTACGTAAGCAAAATTAAAGGAAACATTAAAACAAAAGGGAAAAAACACTAATTTCTTTTTTTTTCTGTATTAATGGTAGTAAAATAAAATAAAACTGATTTTGAGCATCAAATTCTCTTGCTGTTTTTTCTCGATGGAAGTGCTTAATCAGTTCTTATTAAAAATATAGATTTCAAACATAACCCTTTCCTTGTTCTTAAATTTCTTGTTTTGTTTATCAGTAGATGGAATTCTTATAAATAATGCACATAACTAGGTGGATAAAGAGTAGAGAATTTATCATCTGCTCAAAATCAAAGACATTTTTTATCTTCGTTTCTTTTAACATGGAGGCTTTTTTTCTTCTTTCCTTTTCTTGAAATTTTGTTTTATTTTTGAAACAACATTTAAAATGCTAATTTATTTCATTTCATAAAGAATTTTGCAGATAAGAATGTTGTAAATCAATTTAATTTGCCCAGTACTTAATTGTATTTTTAAGAATGCTACTTTTAATGCTTATTTATTTTAAAAAGCTAAAATTAATTAAAATTAAGAACATTTTCACTTTATTTTTTATAATTACTAAATTTTTTCTCAGAGAATTTATTTTTTCATCCGATAAATTTCAATCTCTTTCATATATAATATTTGTTATCAGTAGTAAATTGAATTGACTGAATAGTTTTTTTTCTATTTCACTCTTTTTTTTGTGAAATTTTCTTTTTTTCCCTATAGTGTTGTAGATCAATTGAGGTTTCTGATTAAAAAAAAATAAGAACACAAAAGATGAATACTAATGCAAGAAATGTGTGAGGAAAAATTTAAACCAATTATGGTGGTTTCAGTTCATTGGCGTTTCATTGAAAAATAAAGTAAAATAAATTAAGTCAATAAAAAATATATAAAAGAAAATATAAAATTTAATATTATTTCTACATTAATCCAATATAATAAGTTCACTCAGAATTTAATAATAGAAACATTTGCTACAGTAATACTTCTAATTTTGATTCTAAAGCGCTTAAAAAAGAATTTTTACTCCTTAATAGTAGCATCATTCATTAGATATAAACAATTACCAAAATGAGTTGACGTATTATCTTATTCGAACTTATTTCCTTAAAAGAATACAATCATGTCATATTATTTGTATTTTTGCTTAAACTGATATTTCCTTTTTAAATTCTCTAACGAGCAAGTAATATACATACCATTCAAGTTTCAGTGGTACTTGTTTTTCCTTTTTTCAATCAAGCATTATTTTAACAGATCTAATCAGCATAATGAAATAGTACATACGAGAAAGAATATAGAGTGCCTTATTATCTTTTAAAAAGATCAGTAGATTTGATCTTTTAATGACAATTGAAATTTTAATTCTTTGCTGAATAATTTCGGGATCAAATAGAAATAGCATTTTTTCTTAATTATAAAATATTCACTTTTCATACAGCATATCTTAAAATGGAAAGTTTATACAATCGATAAAAACGAAAATTTGGAATTCTTGGATCATAATTACCGTTCAAAGGAATCACTGCTTTACTTTTTTAACTAATTTAAAACTAAGTTATTAAGCGAACTTACCTCGGTGTGGTTGGAAAAATCCGCCATTTTATTAATTTGAGTACTTTAGTTGTTAAAGAGATTTATATTAAAAACAGCATTACAGAACTTATAGGACCGTTTTTATTTACAAAACACCCGCACATACAACCCAATACTAACTGCTTTTCTTTGTTACCAGGGTAACGGCTTTAAGGAAAAACTAGATCTCAATAAAACAAATAATTTAAAAGTTATAATCTTACTAAAGCACATTAGACAGGACCGCATGTGATCAGTCGCGAAAACAAATATTTTTCAAAATTTCCACGCCACTTTCTTTTGTAACTACTATGTTCAATGCAGTTTTCAGTTCCATATAGTTTCCTAACTTGAGAGTTTTTAATCTATTCAAAAATCAAGAGTTGTTATTGTTGTAGTTCATTTACGTCGCTCTAGATTCGCGTGCAGGTCGTCGGGCTACCGAAGCGGAGGTGCCATCCCCTCCGCAGAGGATCAAAATTGTGATGGCATGTCTTCGGATCATCCTCCGGGATGTTTCCCAGGCCGTCGCCAATAGCCCATTGTGCAGCTCTAGTGCGACGTAAATTAACAACAACGTCGCTCTAGAGCTGCACAATAGGCTATTGGCGACTGTCTGGGAAGCATCCTCTGTATAGGGGATGGCTCCCCACTTCTGTAGCCCGACGACCTGCATGCTTCCTTCTTCTAGGACTCTCCACACGCTATTGACGAGAGCATGCGAAGTGTTGCTATAGGTAGAGAAATCTGCTCTACGTCACCTCCAGCCCATTTCAATCTCCAATAGGTCATTCTCACTGAATATAATTTACTTTTGCACCGAAAAAAATCACAAGCAGTGAGAATGCTCCACGCGAGATGCTCCTCATACATTCTCAGCATTTGCTAGCGTATGAAAAAGAATCGGATATAGTGAGAACGGGCCCTGAGGGCAATTCGTGCCAACTATTTCATAAAAAATCATGAAGTGCCCACACTCATGCTAGTGATATAGGCGATCGCAAAGCTCGAATACGCCACCTGGGGAGAAGGCCGGTTCCATGCCTCTCCTCCTCTTTTCAGTTGCATGGATGGTGTTTTCTACACTAGGGAACACTGCAAGCTCCATACCACCTACACTTCCGGGTTACTGTTCCCGGTGTATTTTAAAGTCATTTGGCTCACAGCGTGATCGTTGTGTTTTAATATTCTTACAAACGTGGTATTTGATTACTTATTACTTGTGCTTACAATGATAACAATATTTGTGTTTGCAATGCTAAAGGTGCTAACACTAACGTAAGATGGTGCACAGCTTGCAACAAGAACAAACAGGAATAAGCAAATGGAAAGAGGACAAATCAGGACTGCCAAAAAGGCGAATTATTCAAAATATAGCAACCATGTCATCTATTTTAACAATATGTCTGTAAATAACTAAAACAAATTTTCACTTCAAACTCACCAGAATTGCTTAATAACATTAATATCTTATGAAATACGGCGGATTTGAGCTCAGAAATTTTCTAATTTACTTCTTTTATTGAAAACAAAATTATCCATTTGAAAATATCGCCTCGTGGAATAAGCTGTAGTAAGCAATTGCAAGCTTTCTAACCGGAACCAGAGCAGGTATTGAGCTCGAAATTGTTATTGTTTACATTCATATTGAAAACACCATCAATAGGAATGTACTACGACATTTTTCCTTTTCTTAACATTTTTCGTATTTAATTGTTAAAAATATTTTCTTAAATTTCCATGACGCTTTCATTTAGAACTATATGTTTAATGTAGTCTTCAGTTCCTCAGTTCCATATAGTTTCCTAACTAAAAGGATTCAATCTATTTAAAAATCAAGACGGAAGCTAACATGCTTCGTTCCTCTATGAATCTCCACACGCTAATGGTGAAAGCATGTAAAGTGTTGCAATAGGTAGAGAGTTCTGTAACCTAGAGCCCATTTCGATCTTCAATACGTATTTTCGACTAAATAAATTCTCTTTTTAAATTTTCGTCAAATATTTCTTGAAATATATGACTGTTTTTAGATAAATCGACACTCAATTTCTTAATAGGATGCCAGTTTCAAATTCCAAATTGAGAAAAATTAGCGTGTGTTGGAAAGAAGCAAATTTGTTGTTTTAAATTTTTTGCTATTATTTCTTTTTATGTATCGATATTTTAAGACAAATTGACAATTACTTTTTAACATGTGATCAGCTTTAACTAAATTTCACAATGCAAAAGGCTATAAAATAATTCGCAAATTGCCCACTCTTATGTTAGCGGTATACATGTTCTTATTGTCGCTGCATTTAGTTTGTCTCGGAATAATCGTTCTTTTTTAAACTTTCTATAAATATTTCCTGACATTTATGGATTTTTCAAACAAATTGACACTCACTTTTAATTATGAAGCCTGTTTTAAATAAATATAGCATCACAAACAATTAATAAAAAAAGTCGTAATTCATTCATCCCTTTGTAAACGTTATAATTACTCTAAAGTCGTATGTTTTTGACAAAAAAAGTTCTTTTTTTAAATGTTTTATAAATATTTCGTGACATATAATGGCGTTTTCAAATAAATTGGTGCTTTTTCTTTAATACGAAACTAGTTTCAAATGCATTTCGCTTTGCTATAAAGTTTTCAAAATTTGCAAAGTGTCCTGCGTTATGTTAACGATATACATACCTTGAAATTAGCAAGTTTTGAACTTAATTTTTTGAACTAAATTAAGACATTGACGCCCAATATTTGATAACCAGTTGCAAATGACTTTTGCTTAACA